TATTTCAGATTATATAAACAGTTAAGCACACCACATCTTGAGTCCCAACAGTGTATGCCCCTATTACTAGGGGTGGAAACCCCTATGGGAAACTTTTGAAGTCTAATGATGTTAACCCAAGTTAAAGAATAAAGAATCAGCTTCTCTCTTTTCCCTTTAAAATTTTGGTTCTTGCTTCCTTTTGAAAGGAGGCATTAAAAATAATATTCTGTTTCAAGGATTTTTGCACCTTGGTTTTATTTTTTGGTCTTTTTAAAATCCTCATCCAAGGATATTTTTTTCCCATTGCTTTTCAGAGAGTGAAAGGGAGGTGGCGGGGAGAACTAAACATCCATGTAAGAGAGACACATCAATTGGTTGCCTCCCCACCGCGCCCCCACCCGGGGCTGAGCCTGCAACCAAGGTCCATGCCCTTGGCCGGAAACAAACCCAGGACCCTTCAGCCCAAGGGCAGATGCTGTAACCACTGAGCCAAACCACTGAGCTCTCACACCTTAGTTTTATGACACTATGTTTTCAATGATCTCAAGAATATCAAAGAATTGTTCATCCTTTTACATTTTACTTATTAATTTTTAGGGTGAGAGAGAGAGAGGAAGAGAGAAACAGCGACTTGTTGTTTTGCTTATTTATGCATTCACTGCTTGGTTCTCATATGTGCCCTGACCGGGGATCCAACCCACAACCTTGGCGTTTGGGGAGGACTCTCTAACCGACTTAGCTACTTGGCTGGCCAGAGCTGTTCATCCTTTTAAATTACCTTTTTATTACAAAAGACAAGCTCTACATATTGTAGGAAATCTGTAAATAATGAGAGAAAAGTTACCCAGTTTTCGAGCATTATATTTAGTGTACTCCTTTCAATCCTTTTTCTATGTACATAAAATTCGAATGACTCTGAATATAGTCAAGCATCCTGTTCTTACTTTTCCCCTAAAGAGTCTTAAGCATTTTCTAAAATTAAAATTACCAGTTGTTCATAAAAGTGTTTCTAGAGTGCACAATAAGAAGTAAAGGACATCTCCCACCCAAGTAACAACTGGAAGTGCTAGGTCTATCTTCTTACATCTTTTCTATTATAAGCATTTTGCCATATTATTAAATATTCTCCACAAAATGCTTCCAATGACTGCATTATATTCTACCTTATAAGTATGCCATATTTATTTTTCTAATTTTTTCATACTGAAGCAACTCTATTTCCTTAGATTGTATTCCTAGAAGTGAAATGACTAGGTCAAAAGGTAGGAACATTTTCCAGACCCTTGATACCTACTACAAAAGTACCCTCCAGATAGGTGATCCCAGTTCACACTCCCATCAGCGGCATACCAGTATGCCTGTCTCACAAACTTGGTCCAGGTTTTTTTGATCTTCATACCCCTAGAGACTACTAGCATCATATGTGCAACATTCACTTACTCAACAGATAATAACTGAACACCCTCTGTGTCAAGATGCCATTCTAGTTTCTGAAGATTGAGCTCTAATGGATGTTATGTTGTAGCAGAGATAGGCAGAAAATAAACAAGGGTAAAGTTATAGTATGCCAGATAATAAATGCTATGGTCAAAAAGAAATCAGGGAAAAATTAGGGGGGGAGGGAGAAGTAGTGGGTTTGCCATTTTATAAAGAGCAGTGAGGAAAGGCCTCACTGATAAGGTGGCATGTGAGCAGGTATTTGAAGAAGCATGCTGTGCACACATGTAGTGGGATGAGTACTTCAGGCTATGTAGAGGCCTTGAGTTGAGAGCATGCTTAGTTAGGCTGTGTGAAAAGCCTAAAGGCCAGTCTGGCTGGAACAGTGAGGGAGAGAATAGTAGGAAATGGGGTCAGAGAGATGCTGCAGAAACTCAGGGAGGACTTGTATGCCTTGTCAGGACTTTGTTATACTGTGTGAGATGAAAAGCCATAGGAGGGCTCCGAGAAAAGAAATGGCATGATCTGACATATTTTCAGAACATGACAAACTGCTGTGTTGAAATAGAATGTGTGGGCTAGGATTACGGGAAAACAAGAGGCTATTTTGAAAATTCAAGCAAGATATGATGGTCAACATTAAGATAGTAATTTGAGATGTTAAAAAATGGATTCTAAATATGTACCAGTGGATCTTGCTCAGGTGTTGAATGTCCATTGTAAAGAACTGAAGAGTTAGGCATGAATCTAAAATTTTGGGCAACTGAAATGATGAAAATACCATTTACCGAGAAGGAAAAGACTGCAAGAGATTTTTTTGATGGTGAAGAAATTGTGGTTTTACTTTTGGGTATGTCAAAATACTAGTCATCTCCCAAATCTCAGTGGTGCTTGCAATACATTGGTTGTGAGTTGGTTGCCTTTATGTCCCATGTGTCTTTTTCATATCTGGAACACACAATTCTCAGGGAAGAGGGAAAACAGCCATGGAGGAACAGTGCGATGGCCACATATAACTTCCTCTGTCTTGGTTTTTAGAAGGGATGATCTGGATGAGGTATCTACCACCCTGGACCATGAGTGATTCAGCTTATCTGGCTGACAACATTGCATTATTTTCCTTCTTCTAGAAGGGTCCCAGTGGCGTCTAGTACATCATGTATTTAATAGTATATAAGTGTTCAATAAATTTTGACATGGGCTGTCAATCCATACAAAAAGTATCATAGGGAAATTAAACCAATCTCAGTAATTCCTTGGAAATTCCAATACTATTCACATTAGACCATCTATCACCCAATTCCTTAATGTCCTTCAAACCTCAACCTGACCTGCACCAGTTCTAGGCCAATCCAGTCAATCTCCTTTAAACAGGATTAAACACACAAGTAATAGCATTCACATTGCAAAAGGGTTTCTTTAAATCATGGTCTCCTTTAGTCCTTTTAAAAATACAGATTTTAAAATATTTAACTTACACAACTTCCAGGAAATTATCTCTTATATAAAACGTGGCAGACCTGCAAATCCTCCCTTTCTCAGCATCTGGGCCCACCAGTCCTGCCTCCTCATCAGATGATGAACGGATCTCTGCTGGAATACCACGTAAATTAACATTAACCTTCATCATCACATAATAAACCTGGGTAAGACTTTCTCATGGCTCCAGAACATTTTTAGGGTTGACTTGTTACTTACCATCCACAATGTTGAGTGTGCATTTGAATGAGAGAGGAAGTCAGTTGAAGATGAGAAATTTACTTGTTCTAACTAACACTAGTTGGTAGCTTCAGGTTTTAGCCCAAGAGCTAATTATATACCCAAACATTTCTAAGTACTAAGCTAGAATTTCTTACCCTTGACTCCAACAATAAAAACCACACACTATAAAGATGCTCTCAACTATTAAAGAGATTAGGATACTTTAACCTGCCATGTTAGTACTGTACAAAAGAACTTTCTGTGTTAGTGGAAGTGTCCCATATGTGCACTGTCCAACAGGGTAGCCACCAGCCACCCACTGTAGCTATGAAGCACATGAAAATGTGGCTAAAGGAACTGGGGAATGGAATTTTTTACTTTAATTAATTTAAAAGTAAAAAGCTCCATGTCACAAGTGGGTACTATATTAAATCACAGTACTACATTGTTATATCTTCTTGATATAAAAATTTTCAGCGAACACAAAACTCTGAAAATTGGTTGTGTACTTTTTAAATTATAAGATCTATAAATGTACATTTTACCATCTGTGTAGAACAGAGGAAATAAGTATTATAAACTTATATGTATGTATGTTTGTGTGCATATATACATCAAATGTCTAAAAGAATACATCACAAACTTGTACCATTAGTTGCCCCTGGGAAAAATAAATGGGTAACTAGGAATCAAATACAATTTTAAAATGTTTTAATGCTAATTTCCACACCTTGCCCTAAATTTCTTTCCTACATGGCTCAAGTCAACAACTGACAGTTGACCTTAAATATTACCTTCTGAATATGTCTATAAGGTGGCCTGTAAGTAATGCTTGAAAATAAATCTCAATTCCTTGGCTTCCATAGTTTTCAGCGTCCCACTCCAATCCCATCCTGCCATCCCCCACAAGCAGTCCAAGTTAAATTCGGCTAGCTGTCTGACTACTGAAAATTAATTCATCTGCTTATTTTATAACAAAATTAATATTTTGTTTATGCTTTCAAAATAGTGTTACTTCTCTTGGGCTTTTCCACTCAGCAGAGTGGCTTTTAGAGCTAGACCATCTGATTTCAAACCCTGACTCGGCTCCTTATCAGCTGAGTATCCTCAGATGCTCTGTGTATCTAGTGTATCTCAGGTTCCTTATCTAACAAATTTAAATAACCCCTATTTCCTGGCTCTCTGGAAGGATTAAATGGGTCAATGTATATAAAATGGCACCTGGTAAACCTAGCTCAAATTATCCTGCTCACAGCAATTATAATATAAACAGGTGTATTTTCACTGTAAAAATCTAGTTTTTAGCCCAGCTGGTGTGGCTTAGTGGTTGGGTGTCATCCCATGCACCAAGAGGTCACTGGTTTGATTCCCGGTCAGAACACATGCCCAGGTTTTGGGCTTGACCCCTGGCAAGGGGCGGTGCAGGAGGCAGCTGATCGATGTCTCTCATCAATGTTTCTCTCTTTCTTTCTCTTCCTCTCTCTCTCTAAAAAATAATCAATAAAAACACGTTTTTTAAAAATCTAGTTTTAAACCTCTACAAGCCCTTAAAGACAAAGACACAATTCTGTATTTTGTGCTCTAGTTTATCAAAATGTAATGATAGTATCTATCGCTAAAGAACATACCTTTTTAGATTTATGCTTTAGCAAGCACATGACATCCTAACAGCAAATCAGTAACAGTTCTCTTTATACTGAAAACTGATTGTAACAGGATTAAGGGTTGTTATATTTTGGTTTTGTAAAACCAGGACACTGTACAAACTAACAAGCATACTCAATGAATAATAAATTCTGTTCAAAAACATAGGCACGATTTTTAAGGTAAAATGTATCCAATCACATAGTTTAGTTCTTAACATATGAGGTAAAGAAGAATTTATATTTAAAAAACATTTATTTATCAGGGAGGAAAGTCCCAAACAAACAAGTGAACTGTTCTTATTTACATTAGACATTAAGGAAAAAAGCATCGTGAGGGGCCAGGACCATCTTAATCGGCCAGCAAAATCAGACAACTGAAATACAATTAATAGAAACAAAATTTTTCTTTTTCCATAAACCAAGTGTAGGAATGTCAGTAAACTTAAATGCAAATATAAAGGCTGCAAGACCAATTTCCTATATAGATACCTTCTGAAGTTCCATTCCAGAGACAGGGATGAGGGATTCAGGAGAGACAACCTTTGAATCAAAATTTACCTTCAATTCTTTGCTTCACTGACTCCTGACAGTTTGGCAAACTGGGGGTCATCATATGACAAATACAATCTGAGAAAGACAGTATAAATTCCAAATGCCTGTGCAAGTTTCTGTAGTTAACAGCATTCTATCTCAAAAAGTTATCAGATTTAAGACGTAAGTCATTTCCTTTAGATGGTACAATTTTAGCAAAGAGCATTATCTAAATTATAGGGTAATTAAGGTAGCACTAAAATCATACACTCCAAGTCTTATGCCATTTTGTTATTCTGGATTATGGGGGGGGGAGTGGATGATGGATGCAGAGATTAACTTTTACGGGGGAATTTTCCAATCTGATCCTAGCTCAGTTTCCTCTATCTGTCCAGGAATCGTCCTCTTTGGAATTGGATACTACTGGCCACCAATGTGGTCCACTTAAAAATAAGTCTCCATCCCTCATCCTCCCTCCCTCTGCCATGGTCTGAAAAATGTACCACCTTACCTAGTTTGGGACCTGATTAGAGATCCATTCTCAGCCAAAGCTGGAAATAAGTCTACTTCACCTGGTAGTTCCCAGAGTTCAGCTGAGTACAAAGAGGAGTCATGGGCCTTGACAGCCCTCTTCTCTGCTGAACATTATTCTTGCAACTATTCTACTACAGAAGCTATTTCCCTTGAAAATACTGAGATTTATATGTTTAAATATTCCAATGCTACGGATCAGGACAAGACTTAAAGGAAGAAGTAGTATTTTCAGGGGGGACCTGAATAAGATATCTTATTTTAAGACGCCCAAATTCCCTGGTTTTCAAATTCAAATTTGACTCTAGTTTAAAAGGAAAAAGGTCCAGAGATGTCATACATTTCCTTATTGCACAGAAATACTCCAATTGCTTGATATGCTGTACTTCTGCATGTCAAATTTTGCTGAAACAAACTTTAAAACATCGGTGCAAAACAGCACTGAAAATAAGAAATGTAGGCCTTCAATTATTATTTAAGAATAGGTATGATCTCAATCAAATCATATTAGAAAACTCAGAAGTTATCAGGAATTGGCCTCTTTTAGGGAGTCCTAAAAAAAAACCACAACTACCATTTGGAATTTAGAATATCCTCTGCACATCAACTTTGAGATTTTTTCTGAGTTAAATTATTCTTGTCTAGCTATGTGAAATTTTCCAGAGCAATTTTATGAGGAAGGAATTGGATATAATTTGGTACCTTCACATATGGCAGTGACATGGATTAAGAAATGGCAGGTGGGAAAGGGGAGGGAGGAAGAACATAAAGTATAGAGTGAATTATAATGGGTAAAAAACAGTTTCAGGGAAAAGGTATGGGTGAAGAATTTGAAACAGTAAGAACAGAGAATCAAATTGTGTATAGAAAACAATTTTATATCTTAAAAAATAAACTGGAATGTTATTTCACTTAAAATGCACAGCATGCAAAATGCTCTGTAATGGTAGTAAAAATAATGTACCACAATGTAAATTTACACAATTTTCCAATAAATGACATACGTGGATGAAAAATTACCATTACAAACCCCTTAATCAAATGTTTTTTCGTTTCTAGCAGTACAATTTGCTGTAATTCATAAACTTTGATCTCAGTAAGCTTTAGACGCTGCTGACCTCATTCAGATAGTTAGGTCCTTATGTCAAGCATTCCCTTATCTAGCAAAGAGATCACTCAGCCACCACTCTTGCTTGGACAATGCTCAGAGCTACCTGACCATTTAAAGTGCATATGAGTTGTTTTGATGAACAGAGACAAAGCTGTAGTTTTGCACTAAATCTTCAATTACTGAATCGTATGTTTTTTCGCCTTGAAACCTTATGATCATTAGAAAGCTACTTACCTAATGTTATAGCCATATATTATGCTAAATGCCCATTTGTAACTGTGAGAAACTCACGTTACAGACACACTACTGACTATATTATAAAAAATCATGGCCACAAGTTTCTGCATAAGAGATTTACTTCTCTCCCTTTCTCTTAAAGCAAAAAAATATCCCACAGTTCAGATTTACATAAGTAGTGCCTCTTTTAAATAAATTAAAAATAGAATGATACCCTGTCTATAAAATTATAAATATTTCTAGCCCACTTTACAGAATGTAAATACTTATAAATGCATTATGTCCTAGTAAATACACATGATGGCACTGAAGCCAGTTAAAAAACAGAAGACAAAAAACCAGCCATTACACTGGCCCATGGAAACATCTAGGGTTATTTTATATCTTTTACCATCAGAAAAATTAAACCAAATAAGAAAAAAAGCAAAAGAGAGAGAAGAAATTTTACTAAATGGCAACTACTATGACCTCAAAGGCTGTATTGAAATGCCTTCCTTCAATTCAGTAACTAAGCCAATTCTGGAATGAACGTTTATGGATAACCAGGTTAGGAGAGTGTTCCTCTTAGTGCGCAGGGCCAAATTACAAGGTATATAGAAAGACAGAATGAAACGGAGTGACTATTTAAAAACCACAAACCAAGATTTAGCCAGTATGTTCAAGATTGGCAGGTTTTGATGGAGTGAAGTCTTCAGTGGAAACATAATTAATAACTTTATGGATGTCGCTTATTTTACCAATGTGAAGAAAGGAAACATGATTGTAAGGTACAGTATACTCTGACAGGCCAAAATGAGGAATTATGATCAATTTAAGTTAACTAAAATGTTTCCTACTAAAACATAAAAACATGATTTCCAAACTGATGCAACTTATAATGTGTCTCTTAGAAGTAAGAAGTAGTTTTAGTTCTGTGGACTGCTGAATTGCCCTTTACATAAAATATTTCCTTCATCTTTAAAAAAAAAGTGGCTTCTGAATGGCGTTGACTCCTTCAGTGCGGGAGAGAAGGCTCAACCAACTGGTTTCCAAAGTTCCCTCCAAAGCGATTCATTCCATCCATCAAATCTATAGTATCTCCAAATCAACATGTCGAACTTCAGGATTTCGTTTCTGAAAGGAAAAATCACCACCAGTTATTCTGAGTAAAATAGAACCTTCTGTTTCCTCTTATTCCTTCTGATCACCAAAGCCACTGAAAACATCTGGTCAAATGCTTTCATTGTGGCATACTAGCAAGAGAAATTATTTGCATAAGGAGAAGATAAAATTGATAGATTAAACACACTGTAAATGATACAGTAAGTAGTCTCATCAACATGTTTGTTCATATGTTCATTAATACAGTAATGGATTAAGAATCTACTTATGTTCCAAGCATTGCAAAGCACTGAAAATATGCTCATTTGTGGTAAAAAGAAAATCACTGCAAAACAATAATCAGAAAAAATACACTGATGCTTATTTTAGTAAAAATCCATATAGCCTTGGGCCAGGCATTGTGCCAGGAAGTGGAGCTATGATTATTAAGACTCTGTTACAGACTCTGAGGAACTCAGTTTTGCCAGGGAGACAATAACCATCTATAAGCTCAAGCACTATAGTTAATAATAACAGTTAACATTTAATGATCACTTACTCTTGTGTCAAGTACTATGCTAAGTAAAGGGCTTCACGTGTATGTACTTGAAAATTTTTCATAATAACCCAATTATTTCCATTTTACATAAAGGAAAACTTAAGTTTGAAGTAATAATCTAACCTGTTCAAAGTCGCACAGCTAGTAAGTGATGGAGCCAGGGGAGATTCCAGGCCTGCTTCCAGACCTCAATCTCCTGTCACAATATACTAAGTAATAACTCTGAGAACAAAAAATGTGAGGTATACTATTTATTCTCATGAGATCCAGAAGGCTCTCATATATTACATGAGGATATAATATAAGTGAGGTTTGAATGTGGTATTTTCCAGATAGAGATGAAGGGAGTCTAGACAGAAGAAACAGCCTGAGAAAGTCAGCCTGAAAAGGCAGGAAGAAGCCAGGTTGTGAGAAATCTTAAATGCTAGCCTTAGGAATTTCAATTCAATAACAACAAAAATACCTTTAAAACATGGTTAGTGAGGAAATACCGGTAAGCAAGCAGGCAATTACAACAGTCTGCTACTAGAGAGCAAAGTAAAGGTTCTGGCTTTTCCCCCACCATGGGTACATAAAGGATGGACACCCAACTCAATTTGGGGGGAATTAAAAGTGCAATAAGGCCCTGGCTAGGTAGCTCAGTTGGTTATAGAGTCGTCCCGATATGCCAAGGTTGCAGGTTTGATCTCAGTCAGGGCACATACAAGAATCAACGAATGAATACATAAATAAGTGGAAAAACAAATCAATGTTTCTCTCCCTTCCTCTCTCTCTCTCAAATCAATAAATTTAAAAAATTTTAAAGTGCAACAAAATGTAATATAATGATATTGTGAGAATGGAGGACAGAAGAGAGTATAAAATAACTAAATCTACACCTATCAAAGAGAAAATAATGTTTAAATCAGGAGGAGCAGTATAAGACTTTAAGTAAAAAGTATAACAGTAAATATAAAAAATGTGCAAAATATTAAAAGTGGTTATCTCTGTAAAATAGAATTAAGGACTGAGGAGCGTGAGGCTGGTGACATTTATTTCTGTTATAAGCTTTTCAGTTCTGTTTGATCTTATAAAATTTGCATACTATTTGTTAAAAAATGTAAAAATAAATTAGCAAGGGAAAAAGAGATCCTCTAAGTGATTCTGATAACCAGTCAGGATCAATAATTCCTAGCTTAAAAAGTAGCTAGGAGCCCAGCTGGTGTTGCTTAGTGGTTGAGCACTGACCTAGGAACCAAGATTTCTGGTCAGGGCACATGCCCGGGTTATGGGCTTGTTCCCCAGTAGGGGGCATGCAGGAGGCAGCCAATCGACAATGTTTCTCTCTCATGATATATCTCTCTTTCCTTCTCCCTTTCTCTCTTTCTCAAAATCAATAAAAACATATTTAACAAAACAGTACACTAGGAATATCTGCATATTACTTATGTTTAAGGAATTCCGTTATAAACATAAAACCTGGAGTTTAGATCAAGCTACAGCACTGTACTGAGTGTGACTGGGATTTTTCTTATAACTTGTGTCGTTAAGAGTCCCTGGGAGTACTTCCTCTTGGATGCTAATTTAACTGTGGTCAGAGACCCCCAAACATGGGAGGCATACTTTTCTTCACGTTTTCTTTATCTTAAACCATTTCCTGTGTGTAGAACTCTTAATTCAATATGGAATAATAAAAGATTTCCTCAAACAGAAATGAAACTGAATTTTATTTTCCCACTCCATTCAACCTTTACCCATCCCAATATGACTTGAAAAATTTTAGCAGTTCATGGAAAGTTTAAAATTATTCTATATAAAAGCACTATATAACAGATGTATACTAATAAAAATCTGATCTCAAGAAAAAGAAAGCAAAAAGTTAATTTACTCTGCTCTTTTAAAAATCATTTTCAGAGAGAAAACTAATCAAATTCCTAACATATAATGGGCCCAATACAAAGCAGACACACAAATAAAGGTTTGCCGAATGACAGAATAAATGAATAAAAGAAATAGGATTGATATTCGTAAATCTTAATGATTAGTGCCTAACAAGCTGTCATGTACACAACAGAAACTGAGTAAATATTTGCTAAATTGAAAATCAATAATTGTTGTACAACTTGTGATTTTCATTCACTTATTCAACAAATACTTACTGATCTATTATGTCCCAAGCACTGTTCAATGCAAATTCGAACATTTTACACACTACAGATTTTATTCCAACACTTATATTATGGAGAGATAAAAACTCAATTATTAATGTATTTTGCAGTGCTGAAGTCTAAAGTTAAGAAAATGCTATAGGAGGATGCAATCAGAGAAGTAAAAGACAAAGTAAAGGGCAGAGTGTTTAACTGGAACATGACTTATTAGGAATTTACAAATGTTATGGCATCTTCCCAATTCCAACAGAATTATTTCCTCCCAAACACAAAAAACTTCATGGAATATAGAGGTAGAACAAAAACAAAACAAAACAAAAACCTTTCAAGTTAATAGTTCAAAGAACTTCAAAAAAGAACAAGATATATTTCACATTTATAATATGGGACTTTATAAATTAGCTTCTATTATTTTTTAAATCTTTACATACAATTCTACAAGTTATAGAGTCTAAGCTAAAAATACCTCCTATTCCACTACTTGGATCAATGGCATTACTCTACAGAAATCACTATTCTGCTGCAGAATTTTCTCACTGTGTGTGACCTTCCAAAGTAATTCAATAATTAGTCAAATTTAAACTTAGAAGGCAACCATACCTAGATACTGAAAAGGAGGGAATATTCCAGTGTACAAAGTTTCAGTTTTCAAAAAAATCAGCTTATTTTCATGAGATGAAAGAAGAATTATATTCACACATTCTGTTTGGTGCCTTCACTATGAAGAACTTTCTTTGACTTAAGATTACTTATGACTTATTACCTTAGAGATGTTTCCACCTGAAAATGTTAAACTTGGCTTCTTGGTTTGAAAGGCTTATATAATTCAAAAACACTTATGAGACAGTTCAAACTATTAATTATTAAGTAGTTTATAATTAAAACACAAAGTTAACAAAAAACAGTAAAAGCTTATCTGATTATCATAAGAGTACAGTTGAGAATGATCAATTCTGTATTTTATCTTAAATCTGGCTTCTGATTTGTTTCTATTAAAGCGTAAAGCTAAAATATTGAGTTTAAAAGTCCATTATTTTCCTTGGAACAGACAGAATGGAAAAGGAAAGTTTATTCATTCTTGTGTCACCCTGCATAAAAATAATCATCTCACATTTTATTTAAACATTGCTTCTCAAAGTGTGCTCCAAAGACCACTGGGGTCTTGAGAGCTTTTCAGGGGAACTCTAAAGTCAAACTATTTTCTTAATAAGACTAAGATGTTATTTGCCTTTTTTACTATGCTGACATTTCCTCTGATGGCATAAAAACAATGGTGGATAAAACTGCTGGTACCTTTGCAAAATTCAAGGCAAATGGTACCAAACTACATTGGCAGTCATTTTGTTCCGTTACTGCTAGATACTCACAGTTTAAAAAAAAAAGAAAAGGTAATTTCCCTTTAAAATGTCTTTCATGAAGTAGTAAAAAGTACTGGTTTGTTAAACCTGAACTCCTGAGTACACTTTTAAAAATATTCTGTGACAAAATGGGATGTATAAAGCCCTTCTCTTCACACTGAAGTCTGATGTCACAAGGAGAAGCACTTCTGTGATTGCTTCAGTTATGAGTTGAATCAAATGCCTTTTTTTTTTTTTTTTAATTTAAACACCATTTTTACTTAAAAGAATAACTAACAAACTATGGTTACTCAAATTTGGGTATCTGGCAGCCATCTGTTAACAAATAAAAAAATGAGTCTGTTACTTCAAAGAAAACAACTACAAGTATTTGTTGCTAATGATAATGCAAGCTTTCAAGTGAAAATCAGAATGTTGGAAAACTCACATCCACCACTGTGAGCCTGACAGCTTCTACTTTAAAATGTAACATCTGAAAGATGTTCACAGAGTCAGTCAACCAATTATTTTCCAAATAACCAATTCATAATACTACAGAATCATGCATGGGTAAAAGAGCCATTCAGAGTACAAAGACAGGCCAACAGATTTAAATACAACAGTATAGAGTAGAAAACTAATCATACCCAAAGAGAGGTCTGGCCTTTGCTCTTGGCTACTAGGAGGTGATCTCTAAGCCCTTGGAATGTCCTGTCTGATAAATTATGTCTTTGTTTATCTGCTCTACCTCCAGAAAGAGCTGAAGATGTAAGGTCAGCTGCTTAGACAGTCAACTTCTATGAAGCCCAATAAAATCTCTGGACACCAAGGTTTAGTTGAGCTTCCCTGATGGCAATATTCCCTGCAAAATGTCAAACACTGTTGCTAGGGAAAAAATACTGTCCATGACTCTTTGGGGAGAGGACAACGTGAAGCTCTGTGTAAGAACTTGGCTAGTTTTAATCTGTATGTTTTCATTATAATAAACCATAACTGTGAGTATAATAGCATTTAGCGAGTTCTGAAATACCTAGTGAATTATCTAACCTGAGGGTGGTCTTAGAAACCCCTCAAACTTTGCAACTGTGTTAGAAACGAGGGTGGTCTTCTGGACTGTGCCCCCTAACTTCACAAATGTATAAAAAGTTCACTGACATGGTTTCAGATTCCACATTGCAGCTAAGCTTTAAGAGGCTACCCGTTGCCAGGTTTTGGTGTAATATCAAAAGAGAGTATCACAATCATTTGAAAAGGTCTAAGAATACTTATAAGGGCTCCTCTCTTTCTTCATATTCTTCAACCAAAACAATATCTGGCAACAAACTGAATGCAAAAACACATGCGAATCTAGCTGTCTTTGATTTTTGCAAAAGCATAAAACAATACTACAGTTCTTGGTAATTTTTTTCATTTTAGAAAAGTTATTTTTTTTGTTAAAATGTTATTTACATTAATATGTAATTATGTTTTTAAATAAATATTTTTTAATTTCTCAGTTTTAATTTATGATTTGGTAAATATCAGTAACTATAAATCAAATAAAAGCTCTTTGGGTCCTCAATAATTTTTAAGGTGGCAAAGGATCCTAACACGAAAATATCTGAGAATTACTCATATATAAACTTCAAAAATATTGCCTGACAAAGCTTATGAACTGTAATATTAACATGAACAAAACCATTTTATTTCAACTACTTCTATTAATCTGATCAAATATCTAGATTCTAAAAGATAGGAAGCAGTGATATGTTTCCCCTCAATTTTTGCTTTTGTTTCCCTTCAATTTTTAACAAAACTAAACAATGGTCAACGTCAACTGAAGAAAATGCACGTTCTTCAACAAGCTATATATGTTAATGATCATTTACAATTTTTATTCACGGAAAACAAAGAGAACCCAAATGTCAATAAATGACAATTTGAGAGCACTGAGAGGTTTTTAAAAAGTCTGATCAAGTAATATTTCAGTAAAATAACTGAGTATGTTGTAACGATCTCCAACTGAACAAAAACAAACAGAAAATATAAAAGAACATTAGATGGACTAAAAAGCAAGATGTATGTGAATGTTTAAGGTCACATGCTATTTTTTTCCTAACTTTTTGAAATTTTTAAATTTCCCTTTTACTATTCTCTAGAAACTTTCTAATGATTCTTATTTAAAAACAAGCAAAAAAAGTTTGACTATTTTAGATATTAAGCAAGCAGTATAGAATAACAATAGAAGTACTTAAGTTGGAATTGAGATACATAAATTCAAAACCAATTCCCCTACTTTCTTGAATAAATTATCTAATTTCTCTAACCTACTCATTCTTACCCAAAGCAACCAACACATCATGGGTTTCTGACAATATATACATATGATGCAGTTAGCATAGTGTCTGACATAAAGTACAAAAAATAGATATTATAATTATGTTATTATAATGAATATATCTTACTTTTAGTTCCTTCTCAAGTCTATCTACTTCAGCTCCTAAAGTATCAATAATATTTTCTCCATGTTTAAGCATAAAGGTCTCTAGGTCTTCAGGAGTTTTCACTTCTTGAATTTCCTATAAAGAAAATGATAGCAGGGAAACAAAATAAGAATTTTATAAAATCATAGTAGTATGTTGATAATTTCTTTAAAAAAATTATAGTACCATGAACTTTAATGAAAAATAAAATCTTTCAAGCCAGCCCTAGCCCATGTGGCTCAGTGGGTTAGAGCATCGTCCTGCACAACTAAAGGTTGCAGGTTTGATTCCCAGGAAGGGCACATACCTTGGATCCCGATCAGGGAGTGTACGGGAAGGCAACCGATCAAAGTTTCTCTCTCCCACCAGTGTGTGTGTATGTGTCTCTCTCTCGCACACTCTATCTTTCCCTTCCCCTCTCTCTCTAAAAATCAATTAAGCATGTCCTTGGGTGAGGATTAAAAAAAATAAAAAAGCAACTTTCAAGCCAGTCAATAAACAACCTATTTCCAAAAAACTGAAATTCAAGAAAAAAATTGAACATCTACCTTAGACCATTAAACAAAACAAAAACAATTCTAAGTGGATTAAAAACCTAAGGGTAAAAACAAACCATAAGACTTTTAGAGAAAAAAATAAGTATGTTTATGATAATGGGTAAGGAAGGATTACTCAGGCAAGACTATGAAACACACAGAGAAAAAGATTACAAATTTGACATTAAAATTAAAAACCACATTAAATCTTCTGAACAACAAAGTGGTAAATCACAAACTTGAAGAAGATATTTGCATATACTTAACTGAGAAAGAATTAGTATTAAGCATATGAAAAAAATGTTTACAAATCTGTCAGGAAAATAGAAATTGAACAAAGAAACGAGTAGAGGAAATTCCAATGGTCAATGAATTTCAATATTTATTAACCTCATTACTACCAGGAAAATATAAATTAAAACAAGATACCTCTTCACACCTATCACAATGACAAAAATTTCAAAACTGTCAATATAATCTAGTAAGAATGTGAAGCAACAAAAATTTGATACAATAATAGTAGAAATTAAATTGACCCACTTTTGCAAAAAATTTGTCAATGTCTAGAGAAGTTGATGCTCACCCAAGGGCCCATCTATTTTAAATCTAGCTATATATTACCCTAAAGAAATTCTTGCATATGTGAATGAGGAAACATGGATAAAAATGCCACTGTGGCACTGTTTCTAATAGCTTAACATAAGAAACAATATAAATGTCCACAAACTAGAGACTAGATAAATAAATTGCAGATATTCACATAATGGAATATTATATAGCAGTCACAGTAAATTAACTAAAGGTATATATTTTAACAGGGGGAATCTCAAAAACATGCTGTTGACAATTGCAGAGGCAATCATTTAGTATATACTGCTTATATCAATTTTTAAACATCCAAAATGTTGTTATATATTATGCTAATAAAAATATATTAAGAAGTATAAAAACCTAAGTAGAATGATAGGTACTATGTTCAGGATAATTGTTAGTTCTAGGGATGGAGGAAAGAGAATAGGACCTATAATAATAACACAAGGGCTTCAATTGTTTTGCAACGATTTATCTCTTTTTTTAAGATCTTAGGCAAATATAGTATGGTAAAATATTAAGATTTGACAAAGGCAAGTGGTATCCTCTGCACTGTTTATTACATTACCCTCTGTAAATTCTCTTTTAAAGTATTCTTAATTTTAAAAAGCATGGATTCTGGAGGCACAGAGGCCTAAATTCATATGTGACTCCATATATGGCTCTCCAATTTTAGGCAAGTTACTTAATCTCTCTGTGTCCCTATTTCCCTATATATGAAAATGAAAATATTATTTCTTTACCTCACAGGGTTGTTAAAAGTACATTAGATAACATATATAAAATGCCTGGCAAGCACTTTAATAAGTCTGCATTTCTATCTCCTCTAACCCACTCTACAGTAAATAAAAGGGTCTCTGTCAAATTTTGGAACCCTAAGAAGCTGAAAACAAAAGTGAATTTATGAGCTATAAAAAAAGTCTTATTTTAGCTCTGGCTGGTGTGGCTCAGTTGGTTGGGTGGCATCCCGTGCACTGAAAGGTTGCCAGTTCAATTCCTGTCAGAATACATGCTCAGGCTGCGGGCTCGATCCTTGGTAGGGGGCATGCAGGAGGCTGCTGATCAATATTCCACTCTCATATCAATGTTTCTCTCTCCCTCCCTCTCTTTTTAAAAAGCAGTAAAAATGTTCTAAAAAAAGTTTTGTTTTATTTTATTGACTTAAAACATAATTTTTCTAACCATTGGCTTTATAAGAAAACAACAAATACATACACTTACCTGTAGCATTTGGTCAAAATCTTGTTTTTCCAAATACGATCTTGTAACAACTCGTCCATCAAAATCTACTTCTGCCTTAAATCTAACTTTACCTAGTCCCAAATCTGTGGCTTTAACATCATGAATTGCCCTGCAATCAATAACAATGCTTACAAATTTATATACACACATACATGTATATACATTTTAATGGCAAAAAGTCTAGAATTATTTTTTCCACCAGTGATGAAAGTGTTCACCATTAAGTGCCACCTATCATTTTCCAAATAAATGTCCATTTAGCTATTTTTACATAAGGCCAAAGGTATAAACTTAATATTATTTTATGGTAATCCATATACATATGAATTATAAAGTTGATAGATTTTTAAAAATCAACTCTAAATTACTTTTCAATAATCTGGTCATTTTATCTCACAGTCCCTTTTTCCTTTTTTAAATAGCTTCTTTAAAAAACTTTTCAAACAACTCTGTAAAGTACTCTATTAGAATAACTTAGTAATAACTACCTAATGAGAATGATGTGTGAAATAATGAGCCAACACTTACGCCTAATGCTACCAATTACATGGCAGACATTTATTGAATGGCATTTACAAAGTAGGTATGATGGAATCTTTACAGATGATAAAACAGTCCCACAGGGAACAAGTGACTTGTCCAAGGTAATTCAACTAGTCAACAGCAAAGCCAGGACTCACCCCAGATCTTCAGATAGCCAAACCCAATGGTCTTTCTGTTATACCATTTTGCCTCCCAGAAAGGGAAACTCAAGCATAACCACTTTTCATCCTTCCTGCCCTAACCCTCTGGAATCAATCTTCCCCCAAAACCATTGAGAAATTATTTTCTTTCTTGATAATCACTATAACATCTTTTCTTTATAGGATATATAAGAGAATAAGAAAACACTGTGAATCCTAGAGATATGGGGAGCTACTGGGAAAACAAGCCTAAATAAGACTCCAAGTACTCTTAAAGCCTTTGATTTCAATTTCTGAGTGATCTTGAGCAAGTTACTAAATAATGAGTCTGAAATTATCTATATAAAGAAGCATATTTATTAACTATCTAGGGTGAAAATAAGAATAACATTTATAAAATTATATGTATCCAAGTTGAAATAAAACTTGTCTAGATTGGTAAGAAGCTATAAAGCTCATTCTTAAAAGAAAAAAAAAGCATATCTATCTCAGTCCTCACAAAATATTAATAAATTTGATTATTTGGCTAATACCTGAATAGCAGCTAATGAAAATATCCTAATATATGTTTTCCTTGTGTTCTAATTCTTTTATTTTTTTAAATATCTTTTTTATTGATTCCAGAGAGAGGAATGGAGAGGGGGAGATAGAAACATCAATGATGCTCTAGAAAGTCACTGACAGGCGGCCTGCTGCATGCCTCCTACTGGGGATTGAGCCTGCAACCTGGGCATGTGCCCTGACCAGGAATCAAACTGTGATCTCCTGGTTCATAGGTCAACACTCAACCACTGAGCTATGCCAGCCAGAGCTTGTGTTCCTATATATAACTGCAGATAGAAAGCTGTCACAGGCAGCATCTATCATGGCTCCATATGATCCCTGCTTCCTGTTTTCAAAGCCCTTGTACAAGCCTCTCTCCTTGAATGTAAGCTAGACCTAGTAACTTGCTCCTAACCAACAGAGCATGGCAAAGGGATGAGATGTCATTTCTAAGATTAGATGACTAATCTGTAACCTTTATCTTGTTTACCCTCAATCTCTATTGCCTTCTCAGCTTGTACACTTTGAAAGCAAGCTGCCATGTTGGAGAGGACCATGTGACACACACACACAAAAAAAAAGTTTAAATCATGTCAATAATTGAGTGAGCTTAGAAGCAGGTCCATCCCAGAAGATGACTACAGTCCCAGCTAGCACCTTGATGACAGTTTGTGAGAAATCCTGAAGTAGAGGACCCAGGTAAACCATGGCCGGATTCCTGACCCACAGAATCTATGTGGTAATAAATATTGTTTAAAGTCACTAAGTTTGGGGGTAATTTGTCACATAGCAATAGATAATATACGATCTAAAAAACTGTATAGCCCGGCCGGGAGTGGCTCAGCGGTTGAGTGTCGACCTAGGATCCAGGCGATCGGGGTTCGATTCCCGGTCAGGGCACATCCCGGGTTGCAGGCTCAGTCAATGACTCTCTCATCATTGATGTTTCTATCTCTCTCTCCCCCTCTCCTTTCCTCTCTCTGAAATCAATAAAGATATATTAAAAAAAAACAAAAAACTGTATAAACTTCCTGGATTACTAACATTTATTTTCTCCAACAATTTAATCTACAAATCTTTACTCTTGCAGAAAATTTCAAAACTTGTCACAGTCTTTCCATTTATAGCTTTTTTTAGACTTTAATTATAAACAATATATGAAAAATTATAAACATATATGTACCTAACAACATGGTAACAAAATACATGAAGCAAAAACTGACAGAAATAAAAGGAGAAATAGGCAATTCAACAATAATAGCTGGAGACTTCCAATATCCTACTTTCAATAATGGATAAAACAACTAGGCAAGAAGATCAACAGGAAAATAGAAGGCTTAAACACTAGAAACCAACTAAACCTAACAGACATCTATACAACACTCGCTATAACAACAGAAGAATATACATTCTTCTCAAGTGAACAGGGAACATTATCCAAGATAGATTATATGCTAGGTCATAAAACAAACCAGTAAATTTAAAAGGACAGACATAATACAAAGTATGTTCTCTGCCCACAATGGAATAAAGAAATCAATAACAAAAGGACATTTGGGAAACTCACAAATACTAAGAGATTAACATACTCCTAAATAACCAATGGCTAAAGAAAAAAGAAAAAATGAGATTAGAAAATTATTTGAAATGAATGAAAATGAAGACACAATGTACTGAAATTTATAGGGTGCAGCAAAAGGAGAGCTTAGAGGGAAATTTGTAACTGTAAAATCCTATATTAAGAAGAAAGATAGCAAATCAAAAACTTAACCTACCATCTTAAACCACTGGAAAAAGAGCAAACTAAACCTAAAGCAAGCAGGAAAAAGAAAATAATATACATATTAGAGCAGAAATTCATGAAATAGAGAATAGGAAAACAACAGAATATGAATTCGACCAAAAGATGGTTCTCTAAAAAGATCAACAAAATTGACAAACCAAAAACCTTTAGTTAGACCAACAAAGAAAAACAAGAGAAGACTCAAATTACTAGAATCAGAAAGAAGAGGCATTACTACCAAACCTAAAGAAATAAAAAGGATTACAAAGAAATACTATGAACTGTTGTATGCCAACAAATCAGATAACTTAGAAGTAATGGACAAATTCCTAGAGAGACACAAAGTACCAAAACTGACTCAAGAAGAAAAAGACAACCTAAACATATGTAACAAGTAGAGAGAGATTAGTAATAAAAAAAACCTAGTCACACAGAAAAGCCCATGCCCAAATGGCATCAGTGCTGAATTCTATCAAACATTTAAAGAAGAAATACTACCAATTCTTCACAAACTCTTCCAAAAAATATGAGAAGAGAACATGTCCCAACTTATTCTATAAGGTATTACCTTGATACCAAAATCAGGCAAAGATATCACAAGGAAAAGATATTAACATGGATTATCTTACATTAAGTTACTAAGCCTAATACTTATTTTAAGAATGCTCCACTTCTAACCTTGATCCAGCTAGGTAACTATTTTTCAAGATTAAACATACAGGGCTTAATAACTTACTCATTTGTTTTACCAATTCAGACATACAGGCCATTCGTAAAAGATTTAACTTAAGAGTTTAATTATAACACAGAAGAAAAATATATTCTCATTTTAAAGTTTAATATATATATTTGTAGCTAATGGAAAATTGGGATTTCAAAGGATTGTTCCTTCCACTTCACTCTGAAACCACACTGCTGCTGAATTTCACTAAAAAATACTATTAGAACTCTGTACCTCTTCTGATTCTCTCCTGTCTTCAGTTCTTTATTCTTATATAATTTAAAAGATAAAGATTATAAGAAAAAATTTTAAAATAAGCAAAAACAAACAATAAGTTTATTTTCAAAGGGAATATAAATGATATTTAATTTGGTAAGCATCTCCCCATGAATAAAAAATCTTAAATTTAATATATTCAATTTATAATTCTAATACAAATATAAGGCAAATATAAATATGAAAGTTCCACCTAAATGGTTCCACATTAAGGCAGTAACTACTTTGCAAACTTCTGTTCCGATTACATCATCTAACTGTTCCTTATTCTAAAAATTAAAGAGACACAAAATTTAAAAGGAAACTTAAGGAGTTTCCTAAATACTTTCACTTGCTAATTCTTACAAGACTGCAATTCTGAAAATAGATTAAAAAGCTCTGATGGCTACAGATACAAAACCTCTTCTGGAAGTATTTACAAACTTAGCATATCTATTTCTTAATGATTCTGTAAACCTTAAGAGCATCACTGGAATAAGCTGACCTTACTGATGGGTCGTTCTCCAGGAGTTCAGTAAGCCGCTGTACTTGTTCAGGCTGGATGGATCGCCCTAGCAGTGCTTCTGTGTTAGTGTAGATGAGAAATGCTGAGACCACACCTAACAGGGTGCCCACACCCAAAGAACCTAGGCTGTCATACAGTGGGTTGCCTAAATAAAGCACATAAGAAGTCAGTAAATTAACATTTTCTATTATTTCAATGAGCTTTAGTGAGCAAAGAACCAAAATCAGTAAATCAAGGGGCTTAAAATTCATTCTGATTCCTTTAATGACTTTCTCCTAATAGATTTACCATACTACAAAATGTGGAATGATACAACTTGCTTCGTATTACATAGGAGTATTATGGGGTTTAATTATTTAAGCTCTGTTTCTTGCATCTGATCATTATATGGGTGAGGGTTCAGAGCATTTTCAGATTAGAGAATACATACACATATTAATAATAGTCTATTTTTGTTAGCAGTATCAGTAGCACTTTTTCTATTCCAGGTTGACAAAATAATTGTAAGATCAAAAGCTGAAAGAAATAACCATTTTTGAGTCTTATTCTTACCAAGATTCTATGAGAGAATTAAACCATACAAAAAATTATATGGGTTACTCCTTTATCCTTCAACCAAGGGTGATACATAGCTAATGCTATTCTAGATACTAAAAACAAAGTTCATCATTGCATGCTACAGGTACCTTAGAGCAGTGGTTCTCATAGTGTGATCCCTTGATCAGCAGCATCAACATCACTTGAGAACTTGGTAGAAATGCAGATTCTCAGGCCTCAACCTAAACCTTCTGAATCAAAAACTCTGGAGGTAGGGTCTAGGATTCTGTGTCTTCCAACCTCCAGGCGATTCTGATTCTAAAAACTGTCTTCCATTGTTAGGGCTTAATTCTCTCCCAGAACCAATGAGAAGAGCTGATTTACTATCTATAAAGGACTAGAAGTCTTTTACTTCTAAAGATAAAATGTCAATATTAATTTTAAGTCTCTTAATGTATGATAAAACATATTATTTTACTAAAAATATCTCAATTTACATACCAGTTTTACTAACATTTAGTCAAAAATATAACACTAAAAAGTAAACTGATTTATCTGTACTGAAGTCTTAAAAATGATCCACTTGTAAGTAAAATATAATCTACTAGGAGGCCTATAATTATAGAATTCAAAATCAAATACATTGCTCTTTAGAAATCCAAATTTAATTATTTTTATTTAAAAATATATGTATATAAGTAATCCTACAGAAATCACAGGAATATTAGCTGGAAAATATTTTATTTCTTGGCATGTTATTTAAATTTAATTTAAATGAATTAATTTAACTAAGATTTAATTCACGTGAAATATTCTTAAAACACAATCTTATACGTTTGATTTGACTGGTTAACATTATATAAAATAATCTATTAAAAGTTTACTTATTCATCAAGTCACACTTTTCTCAAACCTACAATTTTCCTAAGTAATAATTTATGTCCAAAAAAAGTCTAATATGATAAAGTTAACCAGAAAAACAATAAAAACTTTTAGAAATATTCTGGATTACAGTGAACATCAGAGAATGCTGGTTTAGTCTTAAAATGTATATTCAAAATGAGAAAAACCTATTCATATTTTAGAGTATTTTAAGAAACATTGTAGAACTGAGAGTTCATTACCTCAAACTATTCAAATATGCAAGAGCAAATAAATGAGTAAGAATGGAAGAAGCTCCATTCCAAGAGAATTCAAATCTCAGAAATTTGAGTCTTTGCATACTAAACGATTCTTTGTTTTACAAAATAAAAATAAAATGATTTTTCTGTCTTCTGCTTCATCTGTATTGTACTGGCCTTCAAAACACTTAACTAGCCTCCAAATGAGGGTGAAATACACTTGAGAGTCAAAGAAACAGGAAAGCAATAGCACTTATTATTAGTACTAACGGTGGAAAAGACAAATTAACAAATGCTGCAATATGTATTCATTTAGAGCTTTAGACTTTATTAAAGTTCTCTCTTGTATTTATCTTAATAAACCTGTGAGGTCACTAGGACAAATATCAATACTTCTATAGGTAAAGAATAACCGTGTAATTTATTAAGTCACAGAAAGATTTAGAGCATTACAGAAATACTCTATTAACAGCCTTCTTTATTTCTAAGAGAAATTCCTAACTCAAGAGAAATTTTACACTTTTACTGACCAAATGTTTTATACAAACAAGTTAATAAGTTAGGTTAGTATAAAATTAGCATCTAACAATCTATTGGTTTAAAATTATTCAATGATATAAAAGAAAATTTACACATATTAGAGAATTATTTAAGTAGTACAAATAAATCACCTGTAATATAAGAAATGTTTACCTGTTATAGAAGTCAGGCCCATACAAGTGGCTGCTATTGTCACTCCCAAAACTGCTGCAGTATCTTCCAATAATATAACATTTGTACTAGGATCACGACTTTCCATTACTTAATCATTTGGGGAGAGACAAGAAAGAAACTTTCTGAAATTTTAACTTGATACAGGTAACATTTTAATAAGTATTCATTTCAAATTAAGATATAAAGTAAAATAAAAAATGTATGAAAGGTCCAGATTTTAAAAACACTGCTCAATGCAAACAATTTATTGGTTTACATGTTCAAATTGCTTTAAGTTATATAAGCACATACAGAAATACTGTAGTTTACTTAAGTTAAATCTAAATATAAAGTGTTCATGTTCAAATTACATTACATTTCTCTTTTTAAAAGAACTGATGTATATGTAAGAGCCACACATGGGGAAGACACTGAAATATATTTTGGACATATCTATAAGGAACAAAGCAATAGTACTAAGCAATTTTAAGCAAATAAAGATGAAATAATACACCTGGTTTCTAAAACACATACCATACTTGTAAAATGACATTCCTTTGGCCTGAGCACTCCTACGAAGTTCATTTACAGCAACAAGAAGTGTTGCTGCAAGAAAAGCATTCATATCAGCAAGGAAGAAACTTCATGCCTCGAAACTTTAAAGATGGCATCTCAAAAGATAAATATGCATAACACTTTAATGCTAGGGTTGGAAATAAGGAAAAGTTCTGTATTAACTAGTTATTATCAAGGCCCCAATTAATCATCACAAAATAATGAATCCCATATTTCTAAACCATAGTAATTTAAAGTCATTACCACAATGCCAGCCTTAATTTACTGGACAGCTACTAGTTGGCAGGCATGACACTAATTAAGCACCATCACTCTGATCCTCCCAACCTTTTGAGGCAGGTGGTGTTATCACCGTTTTACAAAGATGAAGGAAACACTATGCACAGAAAGTAACAATGTTTCAGAAGTAAACATACTATGAGTAAAGCAGTGAATTAGGCAGTTTCAGACATGACAGTAGCACTTCTCTGTCATAATACTGCTATAGCTGAAACTTTTAGAAACTTCAAAATATTTATATTGCAAAAAAAGACAGCCTTCTCAGATTAACATGCTAAAACCTGATTTTTTAAGAACTCAGTATATAGTGATATTTTTATACTCCATTTCAAATTTCTGAGTTTTATGATATGATACTCAAGAAAAAATAGCTTTTCCCTTGCCCCTATCCATTACAGGAACAGGCACAGTACATTATACAAAGAATTTACTCCATAAAAGTAGACAAAGCTTAGATTCCTATTCCCACAGTTCTTTTTATGAACTGCTGAATATATATTACTAAATTAAGAATAAAGAAATACTACGACAGTACATACCTCCTTCAGATACCAATGATCCTGCTAAAATACAATATGCCTAGAAAATAAATATTAAAATAAAGCATAAGTTAACATTTCATTTAAAAAAATCACAATTGTTCATACATAAAGTTTGTACCATTTAAATTTAAACCTGAATCTGAATTCAGACCAGATAAGGATCTTGATGGAAATAGCTCAAATGAGGAAAATGAGATAGACGGTATCTTCATATGAGGAAACAGATAAAGTTTAAAAATGTGATGGTCATCTCATTTTTTAATACGCAGAAGAGCAATATATATTTTTTATATTTATACAACGGTAGGCAAAAGTAGGTTTATAGTTATGAGTACACGAAACAGTTTATTCTTGTATTACTTCTTAATTATTGTATTGTTTTCCATATATGCCCACCCCTGTACATATTATAGTACTACATTCCAAAATGAGGCACTATACCATTATACTGCAGAATGTATACCATGACTTAAGCTCAATTCATGATATAAAAGATGAAAGAATCATTTAATTAGTATAAAAATTTTTGAAGTTCAAAATTAAAACAAATATTTGAAATCTGGGGTTGTGAATACCAGATATAGTAAGATCAACTCCCATACTCAAATAACTTCTGGATTTGTTTGGATGCCAAGTACAAAGAGAATCCTTTCCGAATTCTGATTCAAAAAAATAAGTAACTATAAATAGTAATCAAGTTTTTTGGGGGGGTAACATACTTTCCTTGTAGTCCCAGGACACTCTTGGAATTAAATAAAGATATCAAGAGTAACTTTAGTCCAAGGTATATAGAAAGCATTAACCTAGGAACACAAACTTTTAAAAATTTTAAATGAAATTCAAACCAATCATCTATAGAATTTTTAACATTACCTTTTTGGACCCTGAAGCTTCCCTAAAATAGAGGTTTGAAAATTTTGAACCCTGTCCAATGCTTTCATAATTCTGTTAAGGAAACTGAGATTTCCAAACGCTATGTGATTTACCTGAGTACACAGAAATGATACCACAGCAAGAATTAGAAAACAGGCTTTCCAGTTTCAATTCTAGGCTCTTTCGAATCATGCTGCCAGTGTGAAACATAGTGACTAAACTTACTAGCAATTTTTTAATCCTCCTATCTCCTTCCAGAGAGGACTTAAGACACACTTATCACCCAATAAAGGAAGATACCATATCTGCCAAGATTCCAAGATAATACCTAATAAATATAAATTGGTCTATGGTGTGCTGAATCCATTGTTTATTAACAAACAGTCATAGTCTAATGGAAAGAAGCCGATTTAGTTACTAAAAGATAGAAGAGCTTCTAGAAGCTTTAAAACTTATACACAATTGAAAATTTAATTAATCAATCCCTAACTCCAGAGTAATTAACTTTGTTGCCTCTATAAAGTAGTATTTTACAAATTAGATGAATGCTAAAACAATGAGATATCTATAACGTGGCCAAACCTTTGCTGAATGAAGGACATACCCTTGTTCATTTTAATTATATGAAATGTATTATGGTAAGAAACTAGTCAATAAAAAAAATAGAAAAAGCCTTGTTTAATAGGCTTGTTATTATGTAAGTATGTAGGTGTAACAAGATGTTAAAATGAGATTCACTCAGGTTGAGAACAAAGTAGGTTACAAGTACCCCAATTCCCAAATGAGAGCTATACATCTATTCAAAGCCTTGCACAGGTGGCTCAAGCCTGGTTTTACAATTCCAATCTCCACAACCACTAGCCCACATAAGCACAACTGAGGTTAAAGAGGCCAAAAATGAAGATTTCTTTGGAGAAAGCTGTTCAGCTGTTGAGATTGCTTAGATAGCTGGATGTGTGTCCCTAGAGGTTAGAGGTTACAGAGAACTGTGTCTAAACTGCCTGAAAAATAAATTTATAGGCAAGTCTGCTAACTGATTATTGGCTGTGTCAGCAGAGGAGAATGTCTGAGTTTGAGGGGAAAAACACTCTTACAAATAATGTGTTAAAGATGTGTGTGTTAACACACAGGATCCAGACATGGAATTGAGGTCTTCTGAAAAGATACCAACTGCCCGAAAGACTTCTTGCCAAATGCAAAGCCACTTCAGCAGATATAGTCTGGAATGACACCATGAGACGCAGAAGCTAAGAGGGTGTGCTACATGACCAATCTGTGTTCATCAAGGGAGCTGGATAATCTCCACGAAGTGCCCATGACAGAAAAAACAAAAAAACAAAACCAGCTTTGAATCTCTACAAAGGCCAAAGGAAACAAGTTCAAAATGACATTGATGCCAAAAAAGTAGTACTTTCTTGTCCCCATCCCAACTTTCAATGCTGCCAGAGGCGATCTAGGAAGTATGAGAGAAGAGGAGAAGCCCTGAGTGGGAGAATACATAAGGTGACTATGCTCCCATCCTCCCGTTCCTCCAGTGTAGGCTTCTCAGGATGAGGAAAATGAGAAGCTTTAACTTTCTATGCAATTTCAACATATGACTATTACATGGGACTGGGTATTTTAATTACTGATAGGAGATTGTTCTTGGAACTAAAAGTGAACAGGTCTTCTTATTCTTCAATAGAAACTAGAAAAATTAACACAACTGCCCAGTATTTTAACCAAGGAGACAATGAGTCATATTAATTTAGAGGTCATGCTCAGTCATGTTCTAAAAAACAACTATACATATATAACCCTATATAACATAGTCAAGAAGGTATATGTTAGTCCTGTTCTTTAACATCAATATGACAAGGACATTCCACTATAAACATTATTTCGTATTACTTCAAAACTGCAGGGGAAAAATGCTTACCCAGAGCAGGGATTCCATTGGCTGAGGATTAAGCAGGCCCATAATTCCATGGTACCAAGACAATCCTGCCCCCATCATGAAAATACCAACACCACTAATCAGTGACGCAATATAGCGCATATTTGAAAAGCCATACCTGGAAAATAAAAACGGTAATATAGTTTACAAGAAATACAGATGCTTTACTTTCAAAATATATGTTTACTAGGTCAATGAAAACAAAAAACTTCTTACAATATTAAGATGTTATAATTTTATATTTAAGTAAAGTTTAAGTGCCAAACTCAAATCTAATCAGAAAATCAACATATAAAGTGGAAAAAAACTGAAAGATCTTTGAAAATACATAAATATGATGAATATAAATTTAATAAAGGGATTTGTTAATTCCATGTCCATACTGTCTGTTTTGATTTAGAACTACTTTACTTTTATGTATCACAAATGCTGGTAAAATTAATGTTTTTAAAAAATGCATTCAGATGTTTAATGAACAGAGTAACATTTAAGTTGCCTTGTAATGCAGCTTCTAAATGAATTATTCTGGTCTTCTTGTACAGCCAATCGATGATTCATATTACCTATAATTTTGACACTAGATACTTGTTGCTGGTTCTATAGAGTTTAGCACACAGCAACTGACTACTATTAAGAGCTCAGCTTTCTGGGTGTTTTTATGACAATTTTTTAAATCTCAATTATTTTTCAAGCATCTTTGGTCTTTATGTGTGCATTCTTTTGTATTTCTGTATATATCAGTAAAATACTGAGCATTAAGTTAAAAAATATGACATACTATAAAAGGAAAAGAATCACTCATCAATAAGAGTATTTCCTAAGAAACTTACTCCTAAACCCAAACCCTATGGCATCCTTCTGGCAGATGAAAATTTAAACAAGAATTCTTATTAAAAACCAAGTTTTAAATTCTTTTTGTAAATATGTAATCTTGACACAGGGAACTCTTAGTTTATAGATGTGATAATGTTCTTCTCAAGGTTTCTCCCACCAAAGTAATATAGAATTATATATATATATATTTATTTAAGTTAAAGTAAATGATCTATATTAAACGAAATTACTTTCATTATGAATTTTCAAGAAATTTTTAGGCTCTTACTGAAATTTTTAATTCAGTAGATCTGCACTGTCCAAAATAAATCATTAGCCACATAAGGTATTTAAGTTTAAATAAATTAAAACAAAGTAAAATTTTAAATGTAGTTCTTCAATTTCATTAGCGACATTTCAAGTGCTCAATAGCCACTATTATGTTGAACAGATTTTATTGAAGATTCTACTGCGCAGCACTAAAGTAGGTTATTGAAAACACCTTGAGAAGAAATCTTCACAGCCTAAAATTTTTAAATTTTACCATTTTAAAATTTTTGGTGTATAAAACTGCTCAGGAAATATAATATTCAAAAATGTTATTTATAAGAAAACATTAGTGTCTTGCTTTCAAGTAAGGAAAGGTATTTATATAAAACAGGTAGATTTCTTTATAGAAATAAAAGCGCATTTTTTTGGTCTTATGATTGATCAAATTCTACTACTGAAGTGTGTTTTTAAAAATGATGCATGTGAAATTCAAAAGTTTTAAGTGGTTATGTTAGAAGCAACCAAAACATCTCTATATCGAATAACTGGTAGGATTCAAAATAATATATTCTAAAAAGCATACTCACTTTACAAGTAAATAATCTGAAATATTAACACAATGCTATTTCCAAATCAAACAGGAGGATTAAAATAGATTAAATATGGATTTAGTAGAAAATATCACTAAGATTTTAAATTGAGTGGTCTATTAGTCTAAGTATGAAATATATGTTTCCTTTGACCAAGTAAGACAGAATTCTAAGATCAAAACACCTGCTTTGTTTTTAATTATCAAACATGAAAAGAACAAGATCAGTATGCCACGTTACAAAGCATATAAATAATTTAAACACTATTTTCAAATTATATCTTAAATTTACTTTGACACAGCAGTGAATATAGTGTACTTCAGTGGAAGAAATGACCAAATCTTTAACACAAACTGCAGGTACATAAACAGCAGGTTTCTAAAATTAAGTTCTTTTATTTCAATGACTTGCCACCAAAACTAACAAAAAAATAAAGGCAATTTCCTTACGGATGAGTAGGATCTGGTGTCTGAATAGACTTACTGATGCCCAATGCTAGTAAACCCTATGGAGAAGAAGGAAAAAGGTAAATAATCATTAGTGAATGAGGAGTGGAATGTGGTAAAGCCAATCTGGAGGATGCTATCTGAAAATGACAAAGAAATACACGTACACATGTCCAATAGTCCAGCAATTATGGTTTCTAATACTTACCCAAGAGAAATAAAAATGAACACTAAGACGTTCAAAACACCATTGCTTATAAAAGACGAAAAATCTGAAAGCAACTTAAAATCCATCACTGCTTTATGGCAAAATAAATAATGGTATGACCAAAACATAAATCACTTCTACTACAGCTTAAAAGAATGGAGTTGGGATAGAGTTTTATGTACTGACATGCTAAAAGCTCCTACCATTAGGTATAAGAGGGAAAAAGCAAGTTTAGAAACAGTATGTACAGTACAGGACTTATGTTTTGTAAACTACATATAATAAAAAGCACAGGGAAAGGTCTAGAAATATGCACATTTAACTACATTTTTACCTCTGAGGAGAAAAGCAGGATTAGGGTGTTAATATCTTTTTATGTGAATAACTTGTATAAATGTACAAAAACAGATTGTCAAATTTTAAAACAGTATATACTGTCTATGGACAATACATTACTAATGAAACTGCAAAACCATGCACAGGAATTTTGCCTATCAATTATACAGAGCAGTGATTATCAGGGATGTAGAAGGAGGAAATGAAGGTGGAGGACTAGTTAAAAACACCACCCTAAAGTAAATATGGCAAAAATGAGAACATGAATTTTTCCCCTCACTGATTTTCAGAGAGAGTGGAAGGGAGGGAGGACAAGAGAGGGAGACATGGGGAGAGAGAAACATCGATGTGAGAGAGCCACATGGACTGGTTGCCTCCTGCATGTGCCCTGACGGGAACCAGGGATCGAACCTCAAAACCCCAGCATGTGTCCTGACCAGGAATTGAACCACAATCTCCTGGATCATAGGTCAAAGATCAACCGCTGAGCCACACCAGCCAGGGAGCTAGACTCAATTTGATTTTAAGGATTTTTGCATCTATGTCCTTGATGAATACTAGTCGTATTTTTCTTTCTTGTAACATCTTTGTAAGGTTTTGGTATCAGGGTTATGCTGGCCTTTATTTGAGGAGTTGGAAAGCATTTCCTTCTTCTCTGTATTAGACAGACTCTACTATTGGTATTATATCTTCCTTAAACATTTCATAGTATTCTCTTGATATTGTCTCACAGGTCACTGAGGCTCCCTTCATTTTTTGTCTTTTTCCCTCAATATGAATGTTTTCTACTGCCATATATTTACGTTTGCTGAACATTTTTTCCCAGTGTCTGCTATTAATTCTATATAGTGAATTTTTCATATCAGATATATTTTTCAGCTCTAAAAGCTGATTTTTCTCTTAGTTGTAAGTCAAATGTTCTGCTTCTTGGCTTTTTTTTGTTTTAATTAAATGCTAAACACTGCAAATGTTATACTGAGTGTCTGGATTTTGTTATCTTCCTTCTTGAGTGTGGGGCTTTGTTCTGGCAGGTTTTTAAGTTAAAGCTCGATCCTTAAAACTCTGATCCTCTGTGGAACTCTGCCTTGTAATTTCTAGCCTCTGCAGACTTGCTAAATTCTAATTTCTGCCTTCTCAACTTAATGAGACTGTTATTGCCCACTTTGCTCCACTATCGCACATGTGTCTCCAAGCTGAAAGCCAGAAATAATCACAGAGTTCAATTTGTTTTCCTTCTCTCAAGAATCATGATCTTGTCCTGAGACTACTGTCCAAAGTATGAAAACACTGTTTCATATATTTTATCTAGTTTTTTAGTTGTTTGCAGAAAAAGACTAAGTTCATTCCCCATTAGTCCATCATGGCTGGAAGCAAAAATTCTTTACATAATGTTTACAATTTGATTTTTTTTACTCAATTTATCATTATTATTTCGGGTCAGTACATAGGTGTAACTACTGCATTCTTTTAAACTCCTGAATAGTCCTTAAAAGTGTGGACACTGAAAAACTATCGTAAATGTTTTAATAACTAATAATGAAACTAATAATCAAACATATCTCCTTATCCATATGTACAAATATTTTTGCATTTTAATTTTCGTAAGTTCAAATAAGCTTTCAACAAAACAGATAATATGTGATATATCTCTCCCCAACCCCTCTTCCCTCTGTCCACTCCACAACCGAATGGAAATATATTAATAGTAGTTATTAAGTACTGTATAAAAATTTAATTAAAGAGTACTAATAGTACTAATAGCAAATGTTTGATTTCTTTCCTTATTTTGCAAAGGGTTTTAAGGTTTTAATCCATTTTACAGTGAGTTAGGTGAATTCTTGGGTTTAATTTTTAGTTAAGATGGCTCTCCCTACTCCTTACCATTTTATTATTTTTAACTTTGTCTTAAATATTCTTATTGAACCTGTTGTCTTTTACAGTAAGGTCTCCCAAATTCGTTCTTATATAACAAGGGTAAAACTAAAAACTGAAAAGAGGTATAACTAATTACTGTATTCTCTTAATACACAACATTCTTTAAAATGTGAAATAACACAAGTAGAAATTTTTGTATTTCAATTTATTTTTACTGTTGAAAGTATTACAAATGTCCTCTTTTTTCCCCCTATTGACCCACTCCACCTTGTACCCCTCCCCCAGGCCTTCACCACACTATTGTCTGTGACCATGGGTTATGCATATATGCATAAAAATTCTTATGTTAACCTCTCGCCACCTACCCCCGCCTTCCCTCTGAGATTCATCAGTCTGTTCCATGCTTCTATATCTCTGGATCTATTTTGCTCATCAGTTTATTTTGTTCATTAGATTACACATATGAATAAGATCATGTGATACTTCTTTTTCTCTGACTGGCTTATTTCACTTAGCATAATACTCTCCAGGTCCCACCATGCTAGCAAGGGTAAGAGATCCCTCTTTTTTACAGCTGCATAGTATTCCATGATGTAAATGTCCAAGAAGATGCTTGATAGATTTCAATCTTCTTGAACTTGTAGAGACTTGTTTTGTGTCCTAACATGTGGTCTGCCTTTGAGATGTCCCATGTGGAGACACTCTGCAGCCTATTCTGAAGCTTTGGGGTAGAATGTTCTACAAATGTCAATTAAATCCATCTGATTGAGTGTGTCATATAGAGTCACTGTTTCCTTGTTGATTTTTTTGTCTGGAAGATCTATCCAGGAAAGTCAGTGGGGTGTTAAAATCCCCTACTATAACTGTATTGCTGTCAATCACTCTCTTTAAAGTCCTCCAGAAGTTTTTGGGGGTTTTTCCCCAGCCTGTGTGAGTCTTTTCTTCTGAGATGGGTGTCTTGTAGACAGCATAGATTTGGGTCTTGTTTTCTTATCCACTCAGCTACCCTATGTCTTTTTATTTTGTAATATATCTTTATTGATTTCAGAGAGAGGAGGAGAGGGAGAGACAGAAACATCAGTGATGAGAGAGTTGTCATTGATTGGCTGCCTCCTGCACATCCCTGACTGGGGATCGAGCCTGCAACCTGGGCATGTGCCCCAGGCTGGGAATTGAACTGAGATCTCCTGGATCCTAGGTTGACGCTCAACTGCTGAACCACACCTGGCCAGGCTACCCTACGTCTTTTGGTTGGGACATTTAATCCATTTATATTTAAGGTTATTATTGATAGGTACTAATCTATTGCCACTTTATTTCTTTATGCTTATGTTTCTCATTCTATTTCAACTTATTACAGCAGTCCCTTTAAGATTACTTGCAATGCTGGTTTGGTGGTGATAAACTCCTTTAGCCTTGTTTTGTCTGGGAAGTTATTTCACCATCTATTTTGAATGATAGCCTTGCTGGATAGTCTTGGTTTCAGATCCTTGTTTTGCATTACCTTAAATACTTCATGCCATTCCCTTCTGGCCTGTAGAGTTTCTGATGAAAAATTAGCTGATAGCCTTATGGGAGCTCCTTTGTAGGTAACAGATTGCTTTTCTCTTGCTGCCTTTAAGATTCTCTCCTTGTCTTAAATTTTTGGCATTTTAAATATGATGTGTCTGGGCTTGGGCCTCTTTGGTTCTTCTTGCTTGGGACTCTCTGTGCCTCCTGAACTTGTATGACTTTTTCCTTGACCAGGTTAGGGAAGTTTTCTGCCATTGTTTCTTCAAATAGGTTCTCTAAACCTTGCTTACTTTCAACCTCTTTTGGCACTCCAAAGATGCAAATATTGTCACGTTTCATGTTATCCCACAGCTCCCTTAAACTGTCCTCCTGTTTTTTCTTTTTGGTTCTCTGATTGGGTGATTTTTTTTCTACCCCTTCTTCTAATTTGCTGATCTGATCCTCAGCCTCTCCTAATCTGCTGTTTATTCCTTCCAATGTTTTTATTCCTACTATGTCATTCTTAATTTCCTTCATAGTTCTTATATCTTTGTCCATGCTGTTGAGCATCTTTAACATCAGTATTCTGAACTCTGTATCAGATAGGTTGCTTATCTCCATTTCACTTAGCTCTTCTTCTGGAAAACTCCTTTGTTCTTTCATTTGGGGCTAGGTTTTTTGCCTCCCCATTTTGGCTGCCTGTTTGGATTTGCTCCTACGTATTAGGTAGATCTGCTAAGACTCCCAGTCTTTTGGATGGTCTCTGATGCAGGCCTATGTCAGATGCTGTTTGTGACTGGCCCTGAGTACCCTATTTTGATGTTTTTCACACTCCACATCTTCTGGTTTCTTCCACTGGGCCTGGGTGTGTTTGGACAGAACCAAGGTCTGCTTTACCAAGCCCTGGGTCCAGAAGCAAATCAGGCAAAGACTCAAAGCAACCAGAGGTTGTTATTTACTCTCTTAATGAGCCTCAGGCTTTAGAAACTCCATGGGTGGGGCCAGAAGTTTTCCAGCAGGGTGGGGCAATTGCTTCCCCCCAACCCCCCAGGCAAAAGCTGCTTGGAATGTAAATGTCTGCCTGAGAAAGATGTCCTCTGCTATATGGGGGAAATGACATCATGAACTCAGATGGATGCCCTCTGAGTTCTATTCCCTCAGCCAGCCCCCCCTGGGTTCTCCTCACATTGCTCTAGTCCACTCTGCCTTCCCTCCACTGGAGCCCAAGGTGACTGGCTTCACACGAAACTTTGTGCACTGGCTCTTTACGAGGGTGCCTGCATTTCCAGCCATCTCTATCTGGCAGGTAGAAACCCTGCTGCTTTCCACAGCCAGATGTTACGTGGGCACTTTTCTCTGTTCTGGTGCTCTGCACTGGGAAGCCCAGCCTGGGGTTTAGGCCCCAGAGTTCTCCGTGGGAACCCCCACAACTGAGATATCCCTCTGGAACTTCAGCTGCTGCCTGTGAGAGCCCAGCCAACCCTCTGGTGCCTCCATACTTCCTACCAGTCTCTATGTGGTCTCCACTTTTCGTCCTTTGTTATGAGGGTGCTACCCAGCTAGTTCAGTTGCAGTTGATTATTCAGGGTGGATTTTTTATGTTTTAGTTGTAATTCTGTTTGGTACTGGAAGAGTGTCGGTGTAGTTTCCGCTCAGTCCCCCTCCATCTTGGATCCACCACAAGTAGGAATTTGTATTGTGTTCTTTAAAAAGGCTTAGGTTTGTAGTGTGCAAAATTTGAATTATAAAAGGTATTTTAATTTTATAAAAATCTTTCTTCATTTGCAAATTCAGGAAAGGAATTCAAAATACTAAACTAATGTGAAATTTTAATTCATCAATCCCATGGGACTAATTTATGTCATTATTCAAAAATTTTAATTGGCTCTTACAATCATAAGAACTCATATTCAGAGATAAAATTTCCACCTAATGTAGGAATCTCTTCTACAAATCTTCTGCCCAAACACTTAGTGACTGATAATCTTATACTTCATATTCCACTATTGGGAGTTCCTGAAGTCTAACAACCGGCTTTAAAATATCATGATCATATTTCTATGTATTTCATTGTTCAAAATAAAACAATTTTCTTCCACATGCCAACTATAGGAGTTATTCAGTTTTTAAACAGGCCAACTTTTAGATTAAAGCAGTAAAAAATTACTTGAAAATTAATAAGAAAAAAGCTTTTATCCCTCACCTGATTACAAGTATCAGAGAGAGAGTGTATAGCTTCGGAGAACATACTTGCTGAACCCGTATAAATCCAAGCAAGAAATTTAAAGAAGCAATTTAATCCATTGCTAGGAGAGAAAGAGAAAGCAATTTAGCATTGGTCTGGACACAAATTTTCACCAAAAGCTTATTTAATTGAGCATATATACCTCTATACTAGATTATGTTCAAAGTAAGTTAAAAAGAATCTAGCCTTCAAGAACTTATTACATTTCTAGTAACAAGAGTATAAATCTGAAAAATACAGATTATGGTATCATTAAATACTCAAATGAAAAGGCATGATGTGTATAAGTAAAGTAAGTGCATTTTGAGAACTGAAGGGAAAAGAGAATGTTCTACATTTGGACAAAATAAAATTGGAAAGGAAATTATGCGTCTTAGGTAGGTAAAAGTTCTGCACTCAATACTGTCCAGTAGAACAGTGTCAAAGGCAAGACTTTGGTGAAGGTCTGTCTACTGAAATAGGTGAAGAAAAATCTAGACCAAACAGTCTCTGGGTCATACTAGAACATAGATGCTAAAATAAACCAGATTAGCTCTGAGCAAGTCAGCTGCTCAGATTCCAACAGTAATGACTAGCATGATTTATCTCAAGCACTATACTAGTCATTTACCATGTGTTATCATAACTCTATTACACAAATATTAACATCATCGTTCTATAAATGAGGAAACTGTACGTCCCCTTCCTCCACTTATCCCCTCCTCCACTTCAAATGTCTTGAAAGAATCATATCTGCTCCTGCTTCTCAGTATTCCTCACTTGTAGTCTCAATGCATTAAATAATGGCTTCTGCCTCCAATACCTCCAACCATTTCTTGCTATAAAGTTCCTAGAAACATTTTAGTATTTTTTTTAATCTCACAGAAGTATTTGCCACTATTTTCTTTTTTTTAATCCTTACCCAAGGATATGTTTTTCATTAATTTTGCAGGGAGGAGGAAGAGAGAGAAAGACAGAGAGAAAGAGAGAGAGAGAGAAACACCGATGTGAGAGAGAAACATCAGCCAGTTGCCTACTGCATGCTCCCTGACCAGGGATCGAACCCACAACCCTTCAGTATATGGGACAAAGCTTCAACCAACCGAGTCACGCCAGCTAGGGCTACCATTGTTTTCTTAAATCACTGTCTTCCTTGGCTTCCATGAAGCTCCTCGTTTTCTTCCTACCTTGCTCCTTGTTCTTCCTCAGTAGGCTCTTTTTCTCCCACCCACTTCTCAAATGTTAGCATTCATCAAGGTTTTTTCCTCAGGGCTTTTTCTTCCTCATACTATACACATTCTCCTACAGCTTTAATTATCATCTATATACTAAGAACTCTCAACTCTAAATCTCTAATCTAAATCTCCCTCCTAAGCTTCACACCAATAAATACTAACAGTAATTATGAAGTACATATTATGTACCAAGTACTGTGCTAAGAAGTTCACATGTATTACATACATTCCTCTGATGAAGAAAACTTTAATTGCTAACCCTGTTTTACTGACAAAAAAATTAATCCTGTTGACCAGCTCCACCTGGGTGTCCTATAAAAACTCCATACAAAACTGAACTCAACATTTCCTTTGCTCCCACCATGCTCCTCCTTTCAGTGTTCCTTCTCTCAGTGATGGTGCAATATCTCTCTAATTGTCCAGAAATATGGCAACATCTTTTTCCATACCTCCTAAATACTTTCTGAACTTAACCATGTCTCTCCATCCCTACATCCCTAACACCACTATCTTTTTTAGTGCATCATCACCTCTTCTCTGTATAATTGTAAATGACTTCCTCTAGTTTAGTGTCCCTCCAATCCTTAAAGATAAGAATTTTGTATTTCCAGACACATGTAATATATGTATTTTGGAAATAAAAGAACTAATGAATTATGGAATCAATGCTTTTAAGCATTTTAAAATAGATTATTCAACAAAATGGACAAAAGATAAAACAATAGGAATCAAGAAGACAGAGGATAAAAGATGGCAAAAATATCAATTACGTTCTACACCAAGGTAAGTGAAAGAAAAATAAGAGTGCAGATACTCTTCAGAAGCTACAGCTCAAGTTGTTTTAATTACTCTAAAAATAACTTTGGCTATCCCAACTTTTTTTAAAAAAGATCTCTATCAACTTTAATGAAAGAGAGAATTTTCAGATAGCAACTGTTCTTAGATTTTAACAGTATCAAAAATTTACACAGCACAAACATGGGTTATGTACTCTTCCCCCATCAATTCACTGACAAAAACAAAGACATTCAACTTCCTCCTAAAACAATATAAACCTCTCTTTATTAAGATACCAATAAATTTATACATTCAAGAATATATACGTAAAATAATGTATTTCTATTTTAAAAGGCTTATTTTTCAGTACTTACATGCAAATAGCAACCATCACCACTTTTCCTGGCCCCTTAAAAAAAACTGATCTCATTCTGGAACGTGGCTATAAAAGAAAAACAATCAGTAAGAACAATAAAAAGAAAAAAACCTCTAAAATTTCTAGGAAAAATTTTAATGCTTATAAATGACTCTACCGCACCAGAAAATATGTCTTCTATCAATACCTCTAAACAACCAGGTTTACTTATTTAATTGTTTCTCCAGAATTTCCTCTATAAAAAGTGAAAAGGTGGAAATTCAAAGGACATCTGAGTCCTTTTCCAGAACCTTAATTTTTATTTTGATTTCCTGCATTCTTCCAGAAAGGATCTGAGTTGGTTACAAAAAACTAGAGATAGCCCTGACCAGGTGGCACAGATGGCTGAAGCATCATCCCGTACACCACCAAAAGGTTGCAGGTTCAATTACCAGTCAGGGCACATAACCTAGGTTGCTGGTTCAATCCCCAACTGGGGAGCATACAGGAGGCAACCAATTGATGTTTCTCTCTCTCTCTCTCTCTCTCAAATCAATTAAAAACAACAACATATCCTCTGTGGATAAAGTATACTGACTAGAAATCAACTCTAAAATTTTTTCATTTCTTGAGCAACTTCTTAACTTTTAAATACGAATGGCCAAAGCCAACAAGTTTGCTACTCTAATTTACCTCCTGACTGTTCACTAAAAACTAAAGATCTCAAGTGATAATAATGTGTTTAATTCCAAAACAGACCAAAACAAAAGGAAATAAGTAGAGAAACATATTCAGGAAACATTTTGGAGTTGATGTTCTTTTGCTATTCCGTGAATGTATACTTTGTGTTTTCCTCTCGCTCTTTCCTCTCCCTGGAATACCATCATTTCCACTGCAATCTCTCCAAGCTTTACTTATCCTCCCCCATGTCTAGCCAAGTGTCGTTTTTGTATGTAAAGCCTTCCCTAGTCCCCAACCAAAAATAAATACTAATTCAGCTACACATGTATGTTGCACTTCACATTTGTATTAAAGCACTTCAGATATTCTGCCTTATGTCATATAAAAAATATTTATTATGCAACTACTGTATGCCTGGCACAGTACTAGATGCTGGGGCATGACAGTAAACAAAACAAAATGTTATAGAAAGCTAGCCTTACCTTGGTGTTTCCCAGGAAGTCTCTATATTCTCTTAATATTTTTTGGTTTCTAAATAGCCCTATAAGAAAAGAATCACCAAATACATTTAGCTCATCCATATTCTTATCAGTCACATTTTAGGTTAACACAATTATTCTCTTTAAGACTATGCTGCATATGCTCCACTACCTATCAGCAAAAATATCAAATTATAAAAAAATCTGGATTTGCAACCCAATTAAAAAATGGGCAAAGGACTTGAACAGACTTTTTTCCAAAGGTAATATGCAAATGGCCAACAAGCACATGAAAGGATAGTCATATCACTAATCATCAGAGAAATGCAAATCAAAACCACAATGAAGTATCACCTCACACTCATCAGAATGGCTACTATCCCTAAAAAAAGAAAAAAAGAAAATAACAAGTGTTGGTGAGGATGTGGAGAAATTGAACACCTTATGTACGCTGGTGGGATTGTAAAATGGTACAACTGCAATGGAAAACAATATGGAGGTTCCTCAAAAAATTAAAACTACCATGTAATCTAGCAATCCTACTTGTGGATATATACCCAAAAAACCCAAAACAAATTAAAGTAGGGTCTCAAAGAGATATTTATACACCTATATTCATAGCAGCACTATTCACAATAGCCAGGAAGTAAAAGCAACCAAAATGTCCGTGGGTGAATGAAGGGACAAACAAAATCTGGCATATACATACAATGAAATACTGCTCAGACTTAAAAAAGAAATCCTGTCATATGGATGAACCTTGAAGACATTATGCTATGTGAAGTAACTCACTAAAAAATACAAATGCTGTATGATTCCATTTATATGAGTTATCTTCAGAGGTCAAACTCATAGAAACAAAAAGTAGAATAGTGGCTACCAGGGGCTGGAGAGGAGAGAAAAAGGGGAGTTCTTGTTCAACGAGTATGGCTTGTTTCATAAAATGAAAAAGTTCTGGGGGAAAAAAGCTTTCTGGAGATGTTTCATAGCAATGTGAATATACTTAACACTTCCAAATTTTATGCCTTTTTTTTTTTTTTTTTTTT